AACTCCAGTGCACCTCCAGCAAACATGAACTTCAATCTGCCTATCGGAGGTACATACCCCAAATTATTGATGGTCAACAGCTCTTGAGGGGGGAGTCCGCCCCTAATACCTAACAGCCACCAGGCCACACTACAGCATGGACCCACCAGGCCACACTACAGCATGGATCACCAGGCCACACTACAGCATGGACCACCAGGCCATACTACAGCATGGACCACCAAGGCCACACTGCAGCATGGACCACCTGGCCACACTACAGCATGGACCACCAGGCCACACTAAAGCATGGACCACCAGGCCACACTATAGCGTGAACCACCAGGCCACATGACAGCATGGACCACCTGACCACACTACAGCATGGATCACCAGGCCACACTGGAGCATGGACCACCTGGCCACACTACAGCATGCACCACCAGGCCACACTACAGCATGGACCACCAGGCCACACTACAGCATGGACCAGCAGGCCACACGACAGCATGGCCCACCAGGCCACACCACACTATAGCGTGAACAGCACCAGGCCACACTGGACAGCATGGACCATGGACCACCAGGCCACACTACAGCATACAGCCATGGCATGGCCCACCAGGCCACACTATAGCGTGAACCACCAGGCCACACGACAGCATGGACCAGCCACACTACAGCCACACTACAGCATGAACCACCAGGCCACAGCATGGACCAGCAGCATGGATGGAAACCTGGCCACACTACAGCATGGAGGCCACCTGGACCACCTGGCCACACGACAGCATGGACGACCTGGCTACACTACAGAATGAACCACCTGGCTACACTACAGAATGGACCACCAGGCCACACTAGAGCATGGACTACCAGGCCACACTACAGCATGGACCACCAGGCCACACTACAGCATGGACCACCAGCTCCTCAGCTCTTACACCACTTGTATAAGTCAGTCATTTGAGATGTTACTTAATAGCACTTGCAGTCCCAGCATAAGCCACATTGTATCACAAAAGATGAATGGAGGACCTATAGTACATTACCTCTATATACCAAACATTTTATTTGCTTAATTGTACTTATAGAGAGAGACTTGTATATCAACAGCCTAAAAAACACAGCTCAGCATGCCACCCAGACAAGCGCATGTGTGGTGGCATCAGCGCCAAAGCCCCACCCAACACGTTTTGTCATCATCTCCCTGAGGATGTCTATGTGGACGAAACATGCAGTGACAGGGTTTTGCCACTGACGTCATCATGCTTGCACACTCATCTGGGTGGAATGCCAAGCTGTGTTTTCTAGGCTGTTGATGTACACATCTCATAGGATCTTCTACAAAATTTGCAAAACAAAATTAATAAATAAACCAACATTGGTAATTAGTGCATTATTCAAGGTTGTCTTCAACAGACACTGAACACACACACAAAAAAAAAATACAATTTGATAATTTTGACAAAACTTGTTTTTCACTAACACCCATGCCTTCTTACAGATCCTGAATGCAAAACAATTTTTTAGAAACAAATAAATAAACCAACAAAAAAATGTGTTGAACTAATACGGAAGTCTTTTACAGACAGTGCAAAACTAATTAAAAAATTTATAATTAAACCAATAAAAAATGTTTGCACTAATACTGGGATAGTCTACGGATGTCAAATGCAAAACAAAAATTAATAAGTAAACCAACAAAAATTTGGTTTTGCATTTGTAAGGGAGTCGACTGCAAAACAAAACAAAAACAATTTTGATAAATAAACTTAAAAAAAATTGTTTTCCACCAACACTTGAGCCTTCTACAGACTCTAAATGCAAAACAATTTAAAAGTTGATAAGTAGGCCAACCAAAAAAAAATTCTTCTAAAGACACCGAGTGCATAATAAATAAATAAAACATTTAAAATTTGATAAATAAACTAACAAAAATAGTTTTTCACTTACACCTGCGCCTTCTATAAATTAAAACAAAATATTGTTTTGCACTAATACCAGAGTCTTCTGAAAAGTGCAAAACAATTTAAAATGATAATATAAAATGCCAAATTGTGTTTTTCATAAGACTTTGGGGGGGCTTTACAGAAGTTCAACAATTTAAAATGAATAAATAAACCAAAAACAATGTTTGCAATAGCATTGGGATCTTCTACAGATGCCACGTGCAAAACAAAAGATTAAATAAAACTAACAAACATTGTTTTGCAGTAGTAAGGAAGTCTTCTACAAATGCAAAGTATAATAAATAACATATAAAATACAATTTTAAATATGATAAACTAACAAAAATTTTTTTTCGCTAACACCTGTGCCTTCTACAAACTCTGAATGCAAAACAATGTAAAAATTGATCAATAAACCAACAAAATATTGTTTTTCACCAATACCTTCTTGAGAATGCCAAACAATTTAAAATTAATATATAAACTAACAAAAGTGTTTTTTCATCAAGCTCTGGGGGGCTTTTACAGACTCCAAGTGCAAAACAATTTAAAAATGAATAAATAAATCAATACAAATGTTTTTCACTGGTATTGGGGTCTTCTACAAATGCAAAACGAGCTTAGTAAATGAACCAATAAAAATAGTTTTGTAGTAGTAAGGGAATCTTCTACAGACACCAAGTGCAAAAAAAAAAGAAAGATAAATAAACAAAAATGTTTCTTCAAGAACACCTGAGCCTTCTACAGACTCCAAATGCAAAACAATGTAAAAATTGATCAATAAACCACGTGCAAAACAAAATTATTAAATAAACTAACAAATATTGGTTTGCAGTAGTAAGGAAGTCTTCTACAAATGCAAAGTATAATAAATAAATAATAAAATACAATTTTAAATATGATAAACTAACAAAAATTTTTTTTTCGCTAGCACCCATGCCTTCTACAAACTCTGAATGCAAAACAATGTAAAAATTGATCAATAAACCAACAAAATATTGTTTTTCACCAATACCTTCTTGAGAATGCCAAACAATTTAAAAATTAATATATAAACTAACAAAAGTGTTTTTTCATCAAGCCCTGGGGGGCTTTTACAGACTCCAAGTGCAAAACAATTTAAAAATGAATAAATAAATCAATACAAATGTTTGCACTGGTATTGGGGTCTTCTACAAATGCAAAACAAGCTTAGTAAATGAACCAATAAAAATAGTTTTGTAGTAGTAAGGGAATCTTCTACAGACACCAAGTGCAAAAAAAAAAAAAAAAAGATAAATAAACAAAAATGTTTCTTCAAGAACACCTGAGTCTTCTACAGACTCCAAATGCAAAACAATGTAAAAATTGATCAATAAATCAGAAAAAAAAATTATTAAAATAAACTACCGTATTTTGCCGGCGTATAAGACGACTGGGCGTATAAGACGACCCCCCTACTTTTCCTGCTAAAATGTAGTGTTTGGGCTATACTCGCCGTATAAGACTACCCCTCTTCCCAATGCACACCAGTGGGAGGAATAGTGCCCCATCAAGATGTCAGTGGAGGAATAAGTGCCCCATCATTGGTGTCAGTGGCAGGAATAGTGCCCCATCATTGGTATCAGTGGCAAATAGTGCCCCATCATTGGTGTCAGTGGGAGGAATGGTGTGCCATCATTGGTGTCAGTGAGGGGTGGAATAGTGCCCCATCATTGGTGTCAGTGGGGGGAGGAATAGTGCCCCATCGTTGGTGTCAGTGGGGGGGGGGGAATAGTGCCCCATCGTTGGGTGTCAGTGGGGGGGAGGAATAGTGCCCCATCATTGGTGTCAGTGGGTAGGAATAGTGCCCCATCGTTGGTATCAGTGGGAGGAATAGTGCCCCATCATGGTATCAGTGACACCAATGATGGGGCACTATTCCTCCCACTGAGACTTGCTGACCTGTTTTCGTATGGTGCTGCTGCAGCCAGCATATGTGGTTGCAGCAGCACCTCTACACAGAGCACTTACCTGCTGCTCCGGCACTCATTTTCGCGGGGCCGCTCGGCTCCGCCCCCTCGCCGGTGATTGGCCGCCTGTGTGCCTTTCCTGAGCTACAGTTCTGGCAGCCAATCACCGGTGAGGAGGCGGAGCCGCGCAGCCGCACGAACATCCAGTGGCCGAACTGAAGGAGACGCCGCGCTTCCTGGACCGGATCGTCGTGGGACTGGATCCAGGTAAGAGACGTCAGCCCCTGCAAACCCCTGTACTTAATGCCGCAGCCCCCCTAAACATGTGTACCGGCGTATAAGACGACCCCCGACTTTTGAGAAGATTTTCAAGGGTCAAAAAGTCGTCTTATACGCCGGCAAATACGGTAACAAATATTGGTTTGCAGTAGTAAGGAAGTCTTCTACAAATGCAAAGTATAATAAATAAATAATAAAATACAATTTTAAATATGATAAACTAACAAAAATTGTTTTTTCGCTAACACCCGTGCCTTCTACAAACTCTGAATGCAAAACAATGTAAAAATTGATCAATAAACCAACAAAATATTGTTTTTCACCAATACCTTCTTGAGAATGCCAAACAATTTAAAATTAATATATAAACTAACAAAAGTGTTTTTTTCATCAAGCCCTGGGGGGCTTTTTACAGACTCCAAGTGCAAAACAATTTAAAAAATGAATAAATAAATCAATACAAATGTTTGCACTGGTATTGGGGTCTTCTACAAATGCAAACAAGCTTAGTAAATGAACCAATAAAAATAGTTTTGTAGTAGTAAGGGAATCTTCTACAGACACCAAGTGCAAAAAAAAAAAAAAGATAAATAAACAAAAATGTTTCTTCAAGAACACCTGAGTCTTCTACAGACTCCAAATGCAAAACAATTTGAAAAATTGATAAACAAACTAACAAAACTTGTTTTGCATGAAGCTTTGTGGTTGGATGCCCTCTGATGTTCATCAAGAGCAATACAGAGCCCATAGCCCCCATTGGATGTGACCCTCGCTGAGCAGGAAAGGGCTAGATGATGCGGAACGCTCTCCAGCCACGAAGTACGTAAACCTGTAAATTGCTTATATTCTGACACAATGCAACTTTGTAGCTGTATGCAAATCTCTGCTCATCTCTTTGAGAAGATACAGAAAAACAAATACTGAAAATTCTACAGGTCAGGAACAAAAGAAAAAGAAACAAAAAAGAAAGAAGAGGACCTTGACAATATCTTCCGAGTCTGCAGTGACATCCATTCACAAGGTTGTACGAGGTTTTCCAATTGTGTTGGTTAATGATTATTTTCTCATCAAAAGCTCCACTTACATACTCTGAATATTACATGGCCACACACTCGTTATTTCCTCCCATGAAATATTTAACTATTGCATGCATTTATTTCTCGGGGATGAATATTTTATCTCCGTGTTCTGCTGTCCTCACAGAACCTCACAATTAGCGTCAATCAGAAGCTTCATCTGGTTTAAGGATACTTCCCATCATGTAGAGCCCATTCACACCACGGCTCTGCGGGAAAGAGAATGTGCACTGTGTGCTGCAATGTACTCCCAATGCAACTCATACAACAAGGCCACTGCAACCCACTGCTATGCAACAATGGCGCTGGAACCCACTGCTATGCAACAAGGCCACTGAACCCACTGATATACAACAATGAGCTGGAACCCACTGCTATGCAACAATGGAGCTGGAACCCACTGCTATGCAACAATGGAGCTGGAACCCACTGCTATACAACAAGGCCACTGCAACCCACTGCTATGCAACAATGGAGCTGGAACCCATTGCTATACAACAAGGCCACTGCAACCCACTGCCATGCAACAAGGCCACTGCAACCCACTGCTAGGCAACAATGGTGCTGGAACCCACTGCTATACAACAAGGCAACTGAAACCCACTACTATGCAACAATGGAGCTGGAACCCACTGCTATGCAACAATGGAGCTGGAACCCACTGCTATACAACAAGGCCACTGCAACCTACTGCTATACAACAATGGAGCTGGAACCCACTGCTATGCAACAATGGAGCTGGAACCCACTGCTATACAACAAGGCCACTGCAACCCACTGCCATGCAACAAGGGCCACTGCAACCCACTGCTAGGCAACAATGGTGCTGGAACCCACTGCTATACAACAAGGCAACTGCAACCCACTACTATGCAACAATGGAGCTGGAACCCACTGCTATACAACAAGGCCACTGCAACCCACTGCTATACAACAATGGAGCTGGAACCCACTGCTATGCAACAATGGAGCTGGAACCCACTGCTATGCAACAATGGAGCTGGAACCCACTGCTATACAACAAGGCCACTGCAACCCACTGCTAGGCAACAATGGAGCTGGAACCCACTGCTATACAACAAGGCCACTGCAACCCACTGCTATACAACAAGGCCATTGCAACCCACTACTATACAACAATGGAGCTGGGACCCACTGCTATGCAACAAGGCCACTGCAACCCACTGCTATACAACAAGGCCATTGAAACCCACTACTATACAACAATGGAGCTGCAACCCACTGCTAGGCAACAAGGCCACTGCAATCCACTGCTAGGCAACAATGGCGCTGGAACCCACTGCTATACAACAGGGCCACTGCATCGCACTGCTATGCAACAATGGCACTAGAACCCACTGCTATGCAACAATGGCACTAGAACCACTGCTATGCAACAAAGCCAATGCAACCTACTGCTATACAACAAGGCCACTGCAACCCACTGCTTTGCAACAAGGCCACTACAACCCACTGCTATACAACAAAGGCGCTGGAACCCACTGCTATGCAACAGGGCCACTGCAACCCACTGCTATACAACAATGGTGCTGGAACCCACTGCTATGCAACAGGGCCACTGCATCACACTGCTATACAACAAGTACTGAAACCCACTGCTGTGCAACAGGGCCACTGCAACCCACTGCTATGCAACAACGGCGCTGGCACCTACTGCTATACGATGATGGTGCTGTGACCCACTGACATGCAAGGATGGTGCTGCAACCCACTGCTATACAAGGAGTGGGTTGCAGTGCCATCTTTCATGACTGTTAGTTTTTCATTTGGCTAGGGTCAGTGTCACTACTGGTAGCATGAGGTGATACCTGGACCCTATAATAATTAATATGCCACTTCAACAAACATCTCCCACAATGTGAAAACAGAAAATATAATTAATAAACATAAAATATCAAAAGTAATAATAATGTCCAAAAACAAGTCAATATGCAAAAAAAAACACACACTTGTGTCCTCAAAAAATTAAAGTCCTAAATGGTGATTCCAAAAAATCAGAGCCTCCCAAATGGCTTTCACGACCAATGCAACCTCAACAAAAAGAAAACATACATAGTGCATTATCCTTAATAAATCAATGCATAAAAAATACACTGTGTAAAACACAAGTGACCATTTGGAAACTCGGGCACTGCCCGAGGGCCCCCGGGGGTCAGTAGGGGGCCCCATGAGATGCCCCTGGTACCTTTTTCATAGGCTTTTTTGAGTTTGGGTAAGGACACAGGGGCCCCATGATCCCCTATTGCCCTTGGGCCCCATGAGTTGTCAGTCCCGCCCCTGGCTGCACCTTGTGTTCATTAGCAAGGTGTGTCAGTGTGCCATTCAGATCCAATAGCACATGTGCTAAATCAGCAGCACATGTTACTGCAATGCTATAGTGTGAACAGACCCTCAAGCTAGCCATGGACAGATCGAAACTTGGCCAGTTCATCAGGAACCAAACAAATTTCGATCTTTCTATGAGCAGGCTGGTTGTTCAATATATCCAGCTTGTCAGGTTTTTTTCATATGACTATAGCCGCCAGCAGTGATCATTGTATTCTGATGTTGGGGAAAACCTTCCACTGTCAGAATACAATAGCTCTGAATGATGCAGTCAATGTTGATAAGGGAATCAAGCGATTTTCTCTCTTTCCTGGTTGAAGGAAAGAAAATTGAATAATCTATGGCCAGCCTCAAGCCAGCCATAAATGGATCGAATCTCAGCCTGTTCAGCAGGGGCTGGCCGAGATTCAATCCATCTATGAGTAGGCTGATTGTACCCAAGTTGATTCACCGACCAACTATCAGTAATACTGTGCCCCCCAATACCCCCCCCCCCCCACCACCACCCCAGGTCCCCCCCGCTGGGAGAACACAACATCTCTGCGGGAAGGATTCCCTCACCAACAATGACTGTGCTGATTGGGGAATCAAGCAATTTGTAGAAAAGAAAGAAAATCACATAATCTATGGACTGAACCAGTCTAATGGAAGAGTGTTTAAAAAAAACTGTGAAAAAGAACTTATTGATTGGTTGTTTTTGTTGTTGGTTAGTTGAATGGTTACTTGGCTGGTTGAATGGTTACTTTAATGCTTGGCTGGTTGGTTGGGGTTGAATGAATACTTGGTTGGTTGGCGGGTTGAATGATTACTTGGTTGGTTGGTGGGTTGAGTGGCTATTTGGTTGGTGGATTGAATGGTTACTTGGATGGTTGGCTGGTT